GTTTGAGGCAGCTCTGCCTCTGTATCTATTATTGCTCAAAAGTTTATAATGGTCTTTATTATCCATGAATGAGTGAGATCATGTGGTATTTTTCCTTCATTGACTGGCTTATTTCACAAAGCACTTTCAAATGCATTAATCTCATTTGATCTCTCAATATAATTGTGAGATGGACTGGGGTGGACGCATAGTTTTTATTTTCCAAGATTAAATTGAGTTTGATACAGGTTAAGTAAATTCCTCACTTCACAAAGCTAGTTAATAAGTGAATTAGATTAGAACCCAGATCTTCAGACAGCAGAACATGTATGCTGCTACTAAGCAAATAAATAGTTTATCAGAATTAGTAGGGATTGTTTAACAACACCATTGGCATCCAAACAATGCTGTAAACTCTAAAATTTTTAAAATATGTTAAAAATGTACAAAGAGTTTATACTATATGCATCTATTTAAAATAGATTCAATTAAGCTCTATCTCTGACCAACATAAAATTAAATAAATTCTAAAACCAGAATATGCCTAGTTGATAAAGTTTTACTAATAAATACAACAAGCATTCATGTTTACTCTTTTTGAAAAAAAAAGAAAAACAATTAAAGGTCCCAGGTGGCCTCAGAGAATTCTATTTTCATTAAAAACATAAAGAAAAAGCTTAAATTTGTGGAAATTCAATCATTTTTTAAATATTCTCAATTTTATAGTATAGGAAATAAGAAGTCTTCTACCTGAAATGTTTGTTTCCTATCTGGAGGATAGATTGCAGATATTCTTCACATAGTGCTTTTCTAGAGGGAGAGTGAAGACATAACTTGGACCTTCTTTTTATCATCAACTGAGTGTCTCTCTTCCAAAACTTTAATATTAATAGTTACATATTCTAAAATGATTTCTATTACTACCCAATCTCTTTTTATGGACTCTTCATAATTTTGAAAGGATAATTTAAGGATGTTAACAAAGTTAACATCTACTAAGACTGACACTACTCAAGACATAAGCATAAATGGTGTCTGTTGAGCAAAACTAATATGTTACAGAGTCTGTGAGAATGTCTGATATCTCCAGGAAGATTAAAGCAAAATGCTGGGGTAAACATGTTTCAGGCTGTTGCAGATGGTCTCAGATCCAATAGCTTCTCTAGAAAAAATGTGTGAGAGGATTCTTTGAATGACATAGGAGGACGACTTCAAAATCTAGCCCAGGACTTCTCAAGCTGGGGTTTGAAATGTGTTCTGGAAAATTAGGAGGTCCATAAATATGTTTTGTATATTATTTGTCATTTTGATGGTAAACTTAAAATACTTTATCAGTTATAAAGAAACTTCCTTGAAGAGATCTTAAAATAGATTTGCAATTCAAAATATAACTGAGTAAATAAACTATTCAAAAATTGAACATATTTCTTAAGTCATTCCTTCTCAAACTAAGGTGCAAGGATGAATGCCCTTGAGTGAGTTATGAGAATGTCTTTTTCTTTTAAAAAGGGTCTGTTCATCATTCACATTTGAGAAATAATAATTATAGCAACTTATGTACTGCCTTAAATCTGATCAATCTGACAAAGAAACACACAAATTCTTCACTTGGAAATTTGAATACTGTAAATATGAAAAATACATTTGAAAGCACGTAGAAGAACATAGTGACGATGACACAATCTAGCTATATTTCCATACAGTATGATCATGGGTTAATCAAATGATTCAAATAATTTCTTTACTCACCTCAGTGATACACCAATGGGACAAGATAGAAGCATTCCATCCCAGCAAGGAAACTTGTTTTTTCACTAAATAAGTTTCAGTTTACTGAGGCATGGTTACAATGTAAATCAGACTGACTTTATTTGGTTTCATTTTTGTTTTTAAACTCTTTACTGACAGGTCCCCTTTATTACTTGCGCCTGGGCTAGTGCTCCCACTGGCCTGCAGGTGGTACATCACTAAGTTCACAACATACTCAATGCCATGACTCAAAGCTATTCAGTAGGCAAAGACCTTCATGGTAAAGTAAGGCCACCATCTGAAGATAATCTTTAAGATAATCCAAGTATGTGTATGTTTAAAAATTCCATGAATGAAGAGTATGGCTATGAGGGGAGGGGGCAATATATTAAAAGAAACTGGGGGAAATATGCAGGGAATTCAGTATTCTCTATAATGGTCTACAATTGTCTGCTACTTCTTTATTCTGCCCGTTTTCAATGATTTAAGTTGTAATTGAAAACCCTTGTCAGGAGTTTTAAGTACAAAAGCAGGCTTTCTCTGACACATCAAAATATAGAGAGATAGCCAGATTTCCCATTGTCAGATTAGAGCGGCAACTACGAACATGAAGAAATTCTGGTGAATTTCAACTGTAGGTATTGATATAGACTAGATAGATATATAATGAAATAGCTATATATAAAAATAGACATACATATAGCTATACATATATATCTACATATAGATATAGATATATTAGTAGATATATAGATGATATATAGATATAGATATAGATATAGATATAGATATAGATATAGATATAGATATAGTATGTGTGTGTGTGTCTTCTAAAGCAACCTAGAAGAAATTATCCTCAAGTAGCAATGGCCTCACCTAGCCTTCATACCTTGGTTCCTAAACATCATTCTATAATTAAGGGAAATAGATTCTTGGAAAATGGAAAATTGCTAATGCCAGGGTTGGGGTTGAAAAAATACAAACTGTTCTTGGACTGTCTTTGAATCCAGAAAGAAAAAAATTGCCCCCATATAATACTTAAAATGAGGGCATGTCAAAATAATCAAATCAGTTTGAAAGGGCTCCCACTGGCCAACATGGGACAAGTTGTGCATCAAAATAAATAATGATAACAGCTTCTAAGTAATTGAATTAAATGATTATGAGAATCCATGAGGCCATTCTAATATAAATAAATAAATAATTGATTAAAATTGAGAAGAAAAAAACATCATTGCAGGGAAAAAATTATAGCTAACAAATGTAGAAAAATTATAAAATTAGAAATTCATATATGGAAATAATTATTGTAATATTTGATTCAGGCACAAGTCATCAATGGATATTAACCTAGAGGGTAAATATTTGATGAGACAGGATATTTACAGTCTCAAAGTATGTTTCCACAAGATACTTATTAATTATGAAGAGGGAAATGGTAAGTTTATGGGAGAAACCTGGCAGACACCATCTTAATAAAATGATCAAAGTTAATTAATCAGTAATGGGACAGGTGGATATCATGTATCTCCTGAGAAGAACACAACATGACTGTGGAATTCCTGCTAAAAATTCATCACCTGAATCCAATCATGAAGAAACAGCAGACAAATCAAAATTGAGAGACATGCTACAAAATAATTAGTCTGTACTCTTGAAAAATGTCAAGGTCATGAAAGACAAAGAATATTGGAAACTGTTCCAGAACATAGGAGACTAAAGAGATATGGCAACTAAATGCAACATATAATCCCAGACCAGAAAAAAAAAGTATTTGGCTATAAAAATGTATTTGGCTATTAGAATAGCTGGTAATGTTTGAATATATTCTTTACTTATACATTTTAATGTAATAATATTGTATTGTATTACAGAAAAAGAAATGTTTTCCTCCATCCTCATGCTGGGTCTGAAAATTAAACTGACAAAGACAGATTAAGAGGAGAAAAGCATACACATTTTATTTAATCTTTACATTCACGTAGGAGCCTTCTCAAGAGCACAACGAACTGAAGAAATGAAGTGAGGAGGCAGGAAGCTTTCATATCTTTTAGACAAAGAAACAACAAATGTGTGAAGAATTGTCAAAACTAAGGGTTTTGGGTTAGGGGTAGCCAATGGTAGGAAGATAAGGGTTAGTTTTTTTGTTTATATTTGTTTGTAGAGATTTATGGACCCCAAATTTCCTGACTCTGGTGATAAGAATGTTTTTCCTTCCTCTTGGTACAGGAAGAATAGAAAATGAAGTATGTTTCATTCATATTTTCTTTTCAAGGGAAAATGGGGTGGTGGGTCAAAGTGAACTTCCTGCTTCTACATTTTTCTCAAACTCCTGCAGCTTAAGGTAATATTACACAGGGCCATATCGTGGAGTAATGTGCCCTGAACCCCATCAGTATCAATGCCAAGTTCCTCATTTATATAAATGTACTCCATTTGTATAAGAAAACATTCTTTCTTTTTAAAAATTTTTTTAAAGAAACACACACAGAAGCATTTAGATGTAAAGGGTATCCTAACTGCACTTACTCTCAAACACTTGAAGAACGGGGTGGGAGAGGATGACCACTCAAGGAATCGAGATAAACGTTAATTAGTTGTACTACTGAAATTTTAAAATTACTTTAAAGTAGAAAGTTAAAAGAAACCATATTTCTCCAATTTGGTGGAAACTTAGAAGATGGTATAAAAATTCATCTGGGAGGTTAAAGAATAATATCAGGAGATAATGATGTTATAGTCAGTTTCCACAGGGAAGCAAGGCACAAGAGTACCTTAATCCTTGGAGAATGGTCTTCTACCAGGACAGTATTGATTTCAAAAAATGAAAAATGCAAAGGCATAGTAAGAAAGCATCTTGCCATGTAAAATGTATTTAAACATCTAAATCTAAAAGAAAAATTTCATGGCACACTGAAAAGCATCCTTTAAGTTTTATGGTAAGAGCAACTTAGCCAACAATAGCAGATGTAAAAGTCAATCTACCCTTGGTGAATTTGAGAGACCATCTTATCAGGGAGACGTCCCCAGGTGCTACCCAGGAGACAAGCAGATGTTTTATTCATCTTAAAAAATGTAGACCTTAGAAAAAGAGAACGTTAAGTTTGACATTATATGGACAAGACTCTGGTACTGATTTTCAAATACTGGGGTTATGGGAACAAGAAAGAGACAATTACTGCAAGAATCACTAGAGTTAAAACAATCAATATAACCTCGGTTCTTTTGCTGAGGTCAGTACACATGCAGGTCAGGATGAATCTATGTTGTACTGCGCTACCAAGAAGCCATTGGCAACATTTTACAAAAAAAATCATTGGGAACAAAATAGAAGGGGTATGGGCTGATCCCACAATCTGATACAGTTGATCGGAAGTGGGTTTAAAATCATATCCACCATTATTTCAAAGTGTGCTTATTTTGTTAATCAGTATCATCCCCAATAAATGTGATAAAAAGGAACAAAAAGTGTGCTTAAATTGGAGAGCATGATCTTGTACTGTAAAGTAATCCATCCTGCTCAGAAAGTATATGCTTGAAAGGCAAATATGCCAAATATATTGGACGTGGCTTCAGAATAGAACTACAGAAGCAGAAATAAAGAACATTTTCACAAATTGGAATTATTGGTTGAAGATAACAAAGCTATTGGTTCAATAAGTATTGTCTGATTATAAAATACAGAAAATTGGAAAGCTACTGAAAAAAGAAGTGCTGTAATGACCAATAATAAACAGAGATGACATTGCTAGTATTTTGGTGTTTTTCTTTTTAATTTTGTGTATTTGTGTGTATGTGTGTCTTTAAGTGGCAACATACCACATATTAACTCATTATTTTATTTAGCAAACATGTATAGCATGCTTTCTAGTGTCTGGCACTGTTCTAGGCATTGAAGACAGTCAGCTATAATTAAAATAGAAACTCTTGAATTTATAAAAGTTACAGTCTATATATAATTGAATATTTTCTTTTCTTTAAGATTATATTGAAGGGTCCTTGAACTCATTAAATATTTCTTAAATGGTAGCAACTGTGCAATATTTTAGTAATTGTATTATGATTACTTTAACCATTTCTCCATTCTTGGACATCTAATTTCAAATTTTGTTACCATAAAAACACTGAACAGTTTTATGTATAAATTAATCAATTTTCTTATCTCCTTATAATATGATCAAGAATATGTTATTAATATTCAACTCTTCCTTTGTATTTTCTAGCTGACTTCTACAAAGATTTTAACTACTTATACCAAACATGTAATAAATTAATGCATAAAGCTTCCCTACCATGACTATTGGATTAAAATTTGAAAGCAAACCAACTAAAATTAGGCAATTTGATGGATTAAAATATATTTTATTGAGGTTTCAATTTACATGTTTATAACCAGTGAAGACTGAATATGTTTACTAGACATTTTCATTCCCCTTTTTAGTAAAGTATCTATCAAATCCTTTTTTTAAATTGATAAATAGAGTGTACATCTTGTTTAATTATTTGCAAACATTTTTAAAGGTAAGGGAAATAATTCTTTGGCAAGATAAACTTTCATATGTAAAAATTTAAAAAGGAAATTTCAGTTTCTCTCTCTCTCTCTCTCTCTCTCTCTCTCACACACACACACACACACACACACACACACACACACGCACATGCACATGCACCAGCACAAGATAGAGAATTCCTGGTTAAACTGTACTTCATCTTGATTTCAAAATCTAAAGTTTTAAGATACTATGAGTGCATAATGACCAACACTGAAATATATCACTAAAAAAGAAATACTAAGAGAAAGTATGTGTTCAAATGTGGAAGGTAATGCTTTCACTATTTGCTTGTTTTTGTTTTTGTGGGATTTTTTTGACTAGAGAAAATTGTGAAAAATCACCCTCATATTTGTGTGCACATTTTAAAAGACATATTCACATACAAAGTCTTTTCAGGAAGAGAATGACCAGAAACAGAATAGAGTTTAAAAACACAGTGTTAACAAAATAGAAGTTAGAATATTTATATTTACAAATGCAGTTTGTCTTTCCAACTGTAAAAGAGAAATATAGTGTGTATAAGAATAGAGTGATTTTGTGGTGCTGTAGGCTCCTGAGCTAGTATAGCCCCTATACATAGTGGAATCTTAACAAGTAAATATTTATTGAGTGCATGGATAAGTGAGTGTGTGAATAAATGAATCAATCTCCAAATGAGCCAAGATCAATGAGTAGAAGTTTCAATATACATATGTTTTTTAGTCAATATAAGGATTATCTTTATAATCATTAAGTTTTCCCAACAAAGGATAGGTTGCCTCCAGCAATAGCAAGCACCCCAGGATTTTTCAAGCATAGAGAAGGAGGAATTGGGGTTAGAGAGAGACGAGTTAGCATCCAGCCAAATATTTAGTAAGGCCACTCTTACCTCTCTGACCCTTAAATTCTGTGAAAGAAGACAAATATATATTATTTAGGAATCCAAAAAGGAATGAACAGAATGAAATGGGAATAAAGATAAAAACAGACAAAAATTCTGATTTTAAGGCTGTGGTGAAGGCAATAGGTTGAGAAAGGAATCATTGAAAAGCAGAATATTTAAGAGCACACTTCAAATGAAAAACCTGAGTGTCACGAGTTCAGATTTTAAATGTCTTTTAAAGTAATTTAGATCAGTTTATACTACTTTTTGCATTTTAGAATAGAATCAAAATTTGAATGTGATATTCGGCCAAATTTTTGAATGAATAGAAAATGTTAGTGAAATATATTTCATTCACATTCAAATTTGGGGCAGTTGTTTTCAAGAATACTCAATAAATATGAGAGTGGTTCATTATTATTAGCACTCATCATTTAAGCATAGCTGGCTTGATAGAATGCGTTATTCTAGAAAATGGGAATAAAGATAAAAATCTTCCTCTAAACTTTTCTACCTAATACATTAACTGCAATCACGTTTCCAGCCAGATTAATCACACAGATATGTAAACTATTTAAGACGTTTGAGTGGGAGAGCCAGAGGCACTCTTTCTAGGCTCAGTCTGCCAAAAACCATTGGAGGCGTCTCCATTTCTAATATTAGATACTACAATTGGACCTCCGCCTCCTGTCTCCAGATAACTACTCAGTAGGGCTGACTTTCTCTCGGTTTATGTGAAGATAGAGGATAACAAAACTTGTGATATTCTGGGATTTTGCCAGAATTCAGTGGGTGGTAAAACCAAAGCCGAAGGCCAAGTGACAAATCCACTAGCTAGCTGCACAAAATACACCCTCACGTTTTTGTCGATGAAAGTGTCATTCCTCCCCACCCCGAATGTGGGGGTAGGGAGGAAATAATCTACTTTTTGAAAGTGTCTCTCCAAGAAAAATAGTTCCAAGTTGAGGCTGGTATACTGTGAGGGGGGAAAAAAACAACTAAAATAAAAAGCTTAGCTGTAGTTCATTAACTTTAATTGGTTTTTGTTGCCTCTCCTCAGGTTTTCTGGATCTTTCAGCCATCTCCTCCCCCAACTCTCTGCTTCCCCTTCTTCTACCTCTCGCCTCCTCCCCCTCCAATCTGGCTTTCCCTCCTTCCTGGCAGCATTTTTAGCTTTAATTTGATAGTAAAAAACTGAATCCAAAGTTACAAAATTCTTCAGATTTAACTTCTTTGAAAGAAAAAGAAGTTGGGGAAAAGAACGGTTATCTCAGCCTCTAACCAGCACTCCTTCAAAGGCACATGTCCCGCAGGTGGCAGGGGCTCTGTGAAGGTAAAATGGATAGTAGAAATGCAGGAAATCATTCTTCTGATTAAAAATGTCTTTTGGTGGACTGGCTAAGGACAGGCATCGAACATGGGTCCTGGAGACAAACATAGAACAAAACAAATTCCCCATTCTCATCGAACTTACAGTATACCAAAAAGACAGACAAAAGCAAATGAACAAACCAATACATTAAAACTTATTTTTGCAAAATGCCATGAAAACACAAAGCCTGGGGAAGGGATTAGAGTGTTGGGGTGCTGCTTTAGAGAGTTTGTCAACAAAGGCTTCTCTGAGGAAGTGACTCTTGAGTAGACACCTAAGAAACTGAATGTAAACCATGTAACTTTTGGGGGGAAGTATCCCCAAAAAAGGGAACACCCTGCAGTAAGAAGGCCAATATATCTGGAGTGCAGAATGCAAAAAGGGCCTGGAGAAAATGAGTTCAGAAATAAATAAGAGAAAAAATAATTAACTGAACCACTTTCACGTTCATCTCCTACCAAAGGAGGGTTATGCAAGCGCATGAGCATTCTATAATAGTCACCGGACCTGTCAGGTTCTAATCAATTGCTGTATTAAAATTTCCTATGCATTTAATTCTGAAATGTAATGCTGTTTCATTATTGCCCCAAAGTTTCCACTCCCATTGTAAGCAAATTAAAGCTAGTCTGATTCAAAGGTGAAGGTCTAATTTGGATTGAGGGTAAAAGGGAGGAGGGGACTGTTAATTCCTGTACTGATAATAATTGGCCCACCCAATTCAATTTAGTTAAGTGAAGTTGCATGAGTCACATATCTCCTCAACCTTTTATTTCTGTTCTATCCCATAGGATTAGAGTCAGGTTGATTCATTATGTATATAAATTATTACATTATATATACTATATAATAAAAGGCTAATATGCAAATCAACTGAACGCGGAACAACTGGTCGCTATGATGCGCACTGACCACCAGGGGGCAGATGCTCAATGCAGGAGCTGCCCCCTGGTGGTCAGTGCGCTTGCACAGGAGGAGCGCCGCTCAGCCGGAAGCTGGGCTCATGGCTGACGAGTGCAGTGGCGGTGGCAGGAGCCTCTCCTGTCTCCACAGCAGCACTAAGGATGTCCGACTGACAGCTTAGGCCCACTCCCCATGGGCTCCCAGACTGCGAGAAGGCTCCCAGGCTGAGGGATCCCTTAAGTGCATGAATTTCATGCACTGGGCCTCTAAAATATATATAT